AGAGAAACTTCATTCACAGAATTCCCAATCGATGCCAGTTGATTTACGTAAGCTTCCGATTGGCTGCAAAATTATTTTCAGACTCGTCAGTGTCCTTTGTTGTCTCAGCTTACGGAGTATTATCCCCCTGGAACCCGTGTCTAATGTAATCCATTTACAAAACTCATTGGATGTCGACGAGTCGTTACGCATACGCTTAGTGTGCGCGACGACGCCAATAGAATAGTCTTATTTCACATAAATTTACAAGAGCTACTCAAAATAGAATAAGTTTGCCCGAGTAAAACTCGTTAACATTGCACATATAATGCTTGAGAAGAACAATATATTTTTAAGAGAAATAACTCAACTTTCAGAGATATTCCACGAAGTAAGCTGAAAGCTCAGTGAATCAGTTTCTTTTTTCGTCCGAATAATTGTCAGGGGTTAGAGACTCGCGCTGCGACATTGAAAGCATCATTCTGCCGCTTCCATCTTAATAAAAGTTGAATGAAAATTTTCTCGGCGAAAAAAGAAAAACGGATTATTTATATTTCAAATAATGCCGGGTATTAAAACAGCAGCTGCAGCTTGACACACGAGGTCTGCAGCACATAAGCGCTTACTGCCACTAATTCACTTGGCAACTTTTTGGAGAGTGTCCAACGCAAGGCCAGCAAAGTGTAATTGTTGTGGAACAAATTAATAACATACGCGAAATGGCGTTGCGTTTAATATTTGTTCGTATCGGTCACTCGCGTGAACAGACATTATCGGTATTTTAAATTCGACATTGACGGTTTGTCGTCTTCACGAGCTTTGCGAATGCTCTCAAGTAGGGGCTTCGGTCGCAGTTGCAAACGTCTAATTCGATATTCAGGAACGAGTTAAATCAGCTTTCGAAATATTTGGTAGCGTTTCAAATGAAACTCTACCATTTTCACGTGGCGAGCCACTTGAAACAACGATTTTTCGCAAACGCAGAAACAAAGAATTTTTCTTGTCACAGCTTGGCAAAGCGAAAATAGTAAAATATATCCCGGACAAAGGGCTATAAGGCAAAGGTAAAAGGGCAAGCCACGGTCTTATCGTTGAGAATCCTTTTGACGTATTAAATTTTGGAATCTGCAAATTGTGAATTTATAATTAAATCATAAGCCAACATGACAAAGAGCCTGGGATTACATTAATCGGATTACACCGAACGGGATTGACAGAGCGCTGTGCGTGCTACATTTGTGCTTCTCCTTGAACTTTCATAGCAAAGTGTTGCCCCCCCCCCCCCCATCCTCCCGAAACTCGTCATTGGCGTGAAATACAAGCAACAGGTTTTTCGCCTTGTTTGCGGCATTAACATTGTTCATCGGGCTGATTGCGACTTGGCTAGAGCGGCGGCGCCGCCGGTCGCCGAGAAAAACGTTGAAGCGCTCGGCGCGTTGCGTCGAGGATCCGCCGAATAGAGACGAATAGGATAAGTTGGAGCGAGCGAGAGAGGAAGGAAGAAGCACGCGGGCGATGGAGCGAAGTGGCAATTTAGCAAGCTGAAGAGGACAAATACTTGGGGCAACAGCTGGCACACTTTCAGTTCCGCGTTTGGACTTGCTCCTGTTCTGCTTTTTACTTGCCTCGCGCTGCCGCCGCTTGCTCGGAGATCATCGATTCGACGTACGTCCAACGTACTTTGGAGCCGGCCCCGCGCTCTCGCGCTCTCGGCAAGCAATATCCACTCCTATTTTTCCCACTGGAAAACATTATTAAAAGGAGCCGCGCAGCGGAAAGGATAGAAATGAAAGGCCGGCAGCCAGCCGATTGGACGAGCGCTTCCCGGAAATAGCGGCAGGATTGGCCGTGGCACGCACGTATCTCCGCCCGAGCAGCTCCCAGCCGGACTGGCCGCTGGGGGTCGCGGCCGCGGCGGCGGCGCCTCGGACTCTGCCGGGGGTCGCACGCTAACCTGTCGCGCCGCGGCACCGCGAGGCGAACCGGTCTGTGAGAAGATTCGTTGGGGCCGAGAGCGAGAGATGAACCTGTTTGCAAACGAGTCGGAGGCTCGAAGGGGGGCCCCCAGCGAACTCTCGTAGTCGCGCCTAGACGCGATCGACAAACAGAGTCTAGCGCGCGGAATGCGATTTCCCTCTTTTTCTCCGGCAGTTCCAGTTCGCCTCTCGGGGGGCGGCCGGGCAGGGGCTTTTGTCGGCGATCGCGAGCCCTTTTCCCACGGCGGCACGTTGCTCGAGCACACCGCTCTTATCTGTGTAGCCGGCGAATTGTGCATTCCGCGCGCTCGCCCCAACGGCAACTCCGACGCTACGAGAGCGCTCGGGATGGAATTGGCGCTGTTCCGCGGAATAGAGATATTCGGCGAGCAGCGGGGGCACGAGGCCAGGTGGGCATTAGGATCGCGAGGGAGGGCAAAAAGTAAGTTGCAGCGAGAGAGCGCGAAAATTGAATTCTCCGGGCGGGGGTATGAGCGATGAGTGGCGCGCAGCCAATCTCCGAGGATGATGTAGGAGGGACGCTACTGTGCCGAGACTTTTTAATATCCGAATCCGCGGCGCGGCAGCGAGCGAGGGAGGCGGGCAAGAACCGCTCGACTTTTTTCGAGCCCTGGCAACAGATGCGAGAGAGGTAGAGAGCTCCTACACTACTGCCGGGAGAAACGCGCGACATAAACTTCGGATAGTGCAAACGACTGGCTGGTTAAGCGGCGCGGCGGCGGGACTTCTAACGACCGGCCGTAATTCTTATTTCCTCCAGAGACTTTTTCCCGCTGCTAAAACTACCTATTCCAGCTTGCAGCCGCTCTCTCGCACGGCTTTTGCGCGAGTCTGCGGAATTGCGCGCATTGTTTGGGGCGAGCGCGCCTTGCGCCCCGGGCCTCGCGCGCGCGCGCGCGCACGGCGCCTTTTGTTATCGCGCCATTCCGGGAGCGAGCGCGCGCTTTGTTCGCCCGCAGCCGCATCGAGAGGTGCGAAGGGAGCGAGCGCTCTTCGACTGCTCGTCTCCTCGCTCGGCTCGGCCGTGGATACGGCCGTGGACTCGGCGCTGGACGCTGCGGCTGCCGCTCGGAGACGCTCGGGGCCGCGGCCCGGCGCGCTTTGGCTTTTAACGGCTCGCTCGCGCGCTAATGGAAACTCGACTTGCAGCCCGGCGCTATTAGTCGATCGCGCGCTTTGGCCCTTTTTCCCCCGCGCACGCGTGCGTTAAACGGCTTCCCCAACTTTTCGATGTAGCCGGCGCGCTCGGCGGACGGGCGAATTTCATTCGAGCGCGCCACGTCCACTGGCTCGAAATACCGATGCGCGTAATCAGATCTATCGCGGGCGCCTATAATTTATGACGGCCAGGTGAATACTACAGAGGCGAGGCTGGTCTACTAGATGAATAGAGAGACGCTCGAGCCAATATTTGTCGTTCTGAAAATGCGCGCCGTACGTGTGCCCGTGTTTGTGGAAGGTCGAGTGGAGACAAGCGGCGAAAGAGAAGGGACGAAGGGGGATGTGGAGTTGGTACGGCGCCGAGTACGGACCGTGTAATTTCGGCGAAAACTTGGTGTGCGAGACTGTCAAACTCTCTGTGTGTATGTGTGTATGTGTGTATGTGTGCGCGCGCGCGCGCGCGTGTGGTCAGTGACCATATTCTCTCTCACCCTCGCTTCGCCTAAACTTGCCCTAACTCTCTGGACGTGAACCGAAATCCCAGCGGCTCACGATGGCTCATTGCATATCGCATAACTAAAATATGCCAATTGATTGCAATGTGAGTCGAGCGATCGTCAGTCAAGCCTGCAAAACAGTACGTCTAATATAAACGTGCTCGTCGGCACGAATTATAAATCCGCATTGCATTGGCATTATCATCGTATTTTATCAAACGTGGATGTGATCGAGTTGGCGAAAAGGGAGGGAAAAAAGTAGTTATTGCGACGCCGCCAGCGGAGAAAAAGGGACGACGAAGGGAGGTGGCGGTTGCACTTTTATTTGGGTCAATGCTCGCGAGAATTTTCAATTTTCATCGCACGCTCCGGCGCTCGCTCGCGGAGCCAACCATGGGAGAAATAAAAATGAGCGAGCGAGAGCGGCAAGATGGGAAGGGCGACGGAACAAGAGGCGACATCACCGATAGCAGAAAGAACGGCGAGAGGGGGAGGAGAAAGGCAGTGCGCGGAGCGAGAAAAGAGTAACGAGATTCGCGCATAAAATCTGGAGCGTCGGCGTAGTCGTTGGCGGCAGGCAACGTCGCCGCCGGAGAGCAGTTGAACAATCGCTCGCGATGATTCTCCGGAGTACTTTGCAGAGCTGTCGAGCTGCTGCTCTCGCTCCTCAGGGGAGCAGCAGTAGCGGCAACCTCCCTCCCAACACCTCATACATATTAATGCAGCACCGATCGATTTCCCATTGGCTTTTCCTCCCCCCCCCCCCGCTCTCGTTCTTGCTCTTGCTCTTGCTCTCGAGCGTTCTTGCATTTCGTGCATAAGCCAACCTTGCTGCAGTTATTATGCCATTAACCTAATGAACTTAGGCCGCGGGCACTGCAAAAGAGTATTTACGTCCGACAGCTTCTTAAAATTCCTCGCGGTCGACCTCCGACGTTATTAGCACCTACGCGGGGGATAAAAATAATGGTGGAAGCGAGGGAGCGAGCGAGCGAGCAAAAACAAAAGGCAGACAATTGATAATAGGATGGAATCAGTGGGCGGGCGCCTCGCTCCGCTGCTGATAATCCTTTCGGAGGGCCGAATTGCGAGAGCGGTGCGGCTCGGATTTGCCGGCTAGGCTTCATATCGACCATGTGCAGAGAGAGAGAAAGAGAGAGAGAGAGAGAGAGACCCTAGTCCTGTTTTCTTTTCCTCGCTTTTCCTCTCGGTCCGTGCGTTAGCTCCGTTTGACTGCGCGTGAACCAGTAGCCGCAGGTTTTTCGCCAGTGCAGACTCTCCTCAGGCGCAGATTCTCTCAGATTGATTTCGAGTGCGGCTTCTCTTTATTTTCGAAGGTAAACAGAGACAGAGAGTAATGACTTGCCTGTGCGTGGTTCCAGAGCTTGAGCTTGGCGCTGACGATCGGCCCGGAGATGGTGCTAGTCGACTTGACGATGTGCTTGTTGGGCGAGCTCTTCGTCAGCTGGCCGTTGGCCGTCTGACTTTGATTAGTCGACTGAGTGGTGGCCTGTTGCTGCATTAACTGCTGGATGAGCTCGAGCTGATGCTTGGTCAGGCCGTCGCTGGCGGAGCCGACGCCGCTGCCGCCGTTGCCGCCAATCGCGCAGCTCAAACTGCTGCCACTCGTGCCCTGTCGACGATTTTCCCGTTGTCAATCATCGCGGCCAGCTTTGGCTTGCTTAGCTTTTCGTTTGCTCATTCGGAAAGCGCGACTGGCACTCTGAAAGGTCCGATAATGAAGCAGCCGGCAACTGCTGCTGTCGCTGCAGCAGCGAGCTCAATTAAATTAGCCGGGCGCTTTGACCGAAAAGTTTTCTAGAATTTGTTGAGCTCTTTCCCGCGCCCCTCGCTTGAGTAATTATCGCGATTATAGTTGGACTTGAATTACTCGCTAACCGTCTTTCGCTTCACGGCGCGGAGCGCAAGTGCGGGGACCTTTCAACTTTGCTCGACTTTCAAAGGAAACTGCGAGCTGCATTCGACTCCGTACGCCGCCGGTGCCTCGGAAACTCATGTATAATCGTCGCCGTGGTGCGAACGTCGGGCGACGTCCTTCGACAATTTCTCCAGTCCCTCTCTCCCTCTCTGTCTCAGAGCTCAATAGCAGTCCATTCGCTTTTATGCGTTCGTTTCGCCCCCCCCCCCCCCCCCCCCCCCCGGAGCCCCCTTCCGGCATCGACCCACCTTCGCCGAATTCAAATGAACATTCGAATCGCTCTCGTCTCTTTTGCACGGGCGCCCTGTCGTATTCCGTGCGGGGGATTCTACTCGGGGAAATTCGCGTAGATCACCGTTCCCTCGACGGCTCGGATAATTGACCGATGAAAGCCGAGGCAGCGCGGCGAAGGCTCGGGGCCCTTTTGTCGCTCTGATCGGTGGAGAAACGAGCGCCGATAATGAGCAATGGAGAAACAAGCCGAGCGAAGCGCGCCGATAAATAAGGTAGCGCGATCCCCGCGCCAATAAAAATCAGAGCGAGCGCCCTGACGCCGAGCCGTGGGCTCCGCGCCGACGTTCGCTCGCTCGGGGCCGACGCCTCGGTCGTCGCGGACAATGCGCCGCGGTGGGCTCCGCTGTCCCGCCAATCAACCGAACGCTCCAATTTGACGATTAGCGTCGCCGCGCCGTCGCCGTGGCGAAACTTTGCCGAGGGCGGCACAAGGGCCGCGGCGCCCGTCGCAATTGGATTTATTGATTAGCCGGCGGCCCGGAGCGCATTGTGAATTTCCTCAATGGGGAATCCGGCTATAAGCTGCACCTCCTGTGTTTGCTCTGTCGCCCGTGTACCACGCGTCATTTGTCCTAATTACAGGGGCTCGCGCCGCTTCGACAAAAAAGCAACGGCAAGCGATTACGACTCGGTGTCAAGTTCTTCGCTGACTCTTTTCCATGTTAAACTCGTCGGGAAGGAGGAGAGCAAAGTTCTGAAAAGTGCAGGTCGTTGGTTTTATCTTCGGAAGAGCAAGAGGGATGCGTATTTTCATGTAAAAAGACGAGAACCGGCTCCCCAACGGCGTCTCTGCAGTTGTTCCCCGGTGAGCTAGTGTTTTCCGCATTTGAGAGAGACAGGGTGGGAGGCTGAGCGCGGCTGGGGACGGGTGGGGCGGGGGGGGGGGGGGGGGTGCGAAAGTTTGACGTTATCGCGCGCCGGCGGAGAGCTTTTGACAAATCGAGCCAAGCAATTTATCAGAACGAGAGAGAGAGAGAGAGAGCACAGCCAGCGACTACTGTGTTTCCACGACTCGAGGACGAGAAAGTGGCGGCGTCAAAGAAGTCGCGTCGGTGAGAAAAGAAACGGACGTTAAATTAATTAAGCCGGATTATCCGCGGGCTGCGCGCTGCCGCTGGCGGGCGTGAAAAGCTCGATACTTTGGTGGCAGCGCGCGACTTTTAGCTTCTTTTCTACTTTGCTCCGTCCACGAGGGCGTTCTCGCGTACTTTTAATTCGTTTATAGCTCATCTCCCTTGGCCACATATTACTCGCGGCGTGGCGCACTCCGTGCAGCGCCGACGTCAATTTTCATTCGAAAGTTTCGCGCGCATTGAGGTCCAGCCTTTCGCTCGCTCTCTCTCTCTCTCTTTCTCTCTCAACGTGCGTGCACTACTGGCTTACGTTAGTTAAAGCTCCTCGTACCAGCCGAACCGCCAACTTTTCAGCATGGACTTTCCGTCTTCCGTCGGAGCTTTCCCTCCTGCTCTTTCTCACTTCCCGCGAGATTCTTGCACTTGTTTTCTCCCTTTTGCCCAATGATTAACGATCGCTCCTAGTACATCCCCAATCTAAAGCATCGATCGATGATGAATTTTTGGCTCGGATTCCGACCGCAGAAGTGCATCATCTGTCAGCGTCACTCGCCGTCAAATGAAACACGACAGATAAAAATGCAGCCGCGGTGCATCGGCTCCATGCGCGCATTAAGTTGTTGGCAATCGGAGCCGCGTGGCGCAAGTGTACGGTTAGGCGCGAAGTGGGTCCAAACGGCTGTCGGTCGCAGCTGCTGGCCACGCCTGTGAACATTCTCTTGGATCTCGGTTGATAGTTCTCGGACGAGCTTCGCTTCGAAAATCCAGGCGTTCCGGGGGATTTTTGAATTTCGGTAATAAAAAAAAAAGTAATAAACAGGGGAAAGCTCACTGGTCGATTTGGCGAGCGCGCGCAATACACATCGAATTGATAAACAAACGAGCGTTGGCGGACGGAATGGCGGAGGTATAGCGCCGAGCGCGCAACGAATTCGATTGGCATCGGGCCCGCGCTGCCTGCGCGCCTACGTACACGCGCGTATACGCGTATCGTTTGCACGCGCGCGCGCAAATGAAGTATAAATAACGGCGCTACAGCGGTCGGGGGCGGACGAGGAGGAGAGGGTTGGAAAGGGCGTGGTTGGCAGGCTGCTGCCGCTGTTACTGGCGAAATATTCAGCCGCGGAGTGCCCCGCGCGCGTATGCACGCGCACACATACGCGCGAGCGGTTTCGCGCACGTAGGCGACTTCGCCGAGCGAGCGCTCCCCGAGATTCTGATCTCTAATTAGCTGTATATCAAATGAACGCGCGACTAGCGTTGTCCCCCGCGCCCCGGCACAGACAGCGCCGCTCTGTTTTTCATTTTCTCACTTCGCTACGGCTTTCTCCTATCCTTTTTACTCGCTTGAATAACGGACGTCGCGCGGATGTATCGCGCGATTCGCTGCGAGCACACCTGCCACAGCAGATTTCATTATCGCTAATGAATTTTGCATCCAAAGATCTTGTTTTTCTTTTCGTTTATTTATTTATTTGCTTTGTATCCCCTCTCTTCTTCTTTATCTGCGTAGTTTTGCTTCATTATTTTTGCATAGCGTCCAGACAAGCTCAACGTAAAAAACAAGGCCGAGCACTCCCAGCCTAGACTTTAAGCTCCAATATGGATATTCCTTCCATGGAATATTCATATTGGAGCTTAAAGTCCAGGCCGAAATGCACGCGCCAATACATGCCCATCATATGTCCGTTTTTTTCTGTTTTTTTGAGAGAGATAAGCTAAACATAATACCTGATAAGGCGCATGTTTGTAACGTTTGCCAAACTCGCTGTCTCGCGACTATTTTTTTTTCTCTGTGTCGACATGTTTTTTCGTGACACGTCAAACTCACTTTTTTACTCTTTCGCAGGAGTAATTTAATAGAATCAGCGTTCATCGATGGTTGGATAGCAGCTTTCGGCTGTAGGGATGCACTTCGAAACTGTTGATTGAAAAGTTTTCTTGTTCCCCGCAGACAAGTAACTACCAGTACTTTATTTTCACTGCGGTGTATAGTATTACTGAATTCCGTTAGCCAATTAGCGTTAGCTGGCAGTGAATATAAAGCAGTCATTTTTGTTTCATAGCTTTTCTAACCTTTCGAGCTTCTCTATATGTAGCACGCAGCCATGAATTTCTAACGACACAACTATATTCAGAGCGTACTGGCGTCGAGTTGGCGTGTTTTTAGCGCTGATAAATAATAAATGACATTGAAATTCGCAGTATGAATGAAGCTCGAGCTTATAATATTGCCGGCTATGCGAACGAAATAAGCAATGAAAAAAGTAAACGGTGTGCGCCTGCGAATACACGGAATTTTTAATGATTGCCTGAAGAGTCTTGCAAGGTGCAAAGCTTAAAGCTCCGGCAGAGAGGGAGAGATAGAGAGAGAGAAAGATCCGTAAAGTGCTTGGCGAAGGTGCTGCAAGAGGGATCAAACTAACATCCTTGTGCTTGCAGTGCCAGAGCTCGTGTGTGCGAGCGACTTGGATCGAAGAACTAGCAAGTGCCTCGCCGTGGGCCAAGCTTCGGGCCAGCTTCAAGCAAATGAAGGAGGATAAGCCGATACGAGCTTACCGAAGCGACTGTAGTATGTATTTACTTGCGTCTGGCGTGCACGTCAACTTGCTCGTGCGATACGTCTGTCTGCATGTAGTCCCCGACCAAGCCCTCGTAAAGGCTGCCGGATAGACAGAGAGAAGAGAGAGAGAGAGAGAGAGAGAGAGAGAGAGAGAGAGAGCGGTGACAAGCTGTCTAAGGATTAAGATTTCACCTCGAAAGGACGCACCTTTGCAATCAATTCCCCAGCGACAATCTTATGTCCCGAAGATGAGCGAGGGAAAAAAAACAAACGGTAATCCTTATTTGCTCTTCAACTTGCAATATCTGTAATCTATTTACGACCTACCTCCTCTCCCCAAACTACTTAGCAACATTCAATTAATCTGTTCTTCACTCCCTCCCTCTCTCTCTCTCTCTTTCTCCTGCTCTTAGTGTCAGTTAGCCTGATGCTACACGAACCTTAAACTCTTTCCCCTTTACGCCAAACAGTCTTGACTTCACTCGCGCGCGGAAACAAGAGAGAAACTGAGAGAGAGAGAGAGAGAGAGAGAGAGAACCTGATACCGAGCAGATCGCTGTCGAGACTCGGGACCCTGTCAATTTCCTCCTTCGTCCATCTTTCTTCTCTCTTTTTTTTACCCCATCTCATCGCCTCGATCGAACTAAATTATTTCAAGTCACCCAGCGTCAACGGACAATTAGTATCTTCTTTTTTCGTTACAAAAGCCGCAGCCACCGCTAATGTACGGCTCTCTCGTGCAGTTTATTTCTCACCAAAGTGAATTCAAGTTTGAATATAGAGAGAGATAGCATCAAATGAGGTGCATTAGGAAATCGAAACGGCAAGGGTGTAGGAAAAGTTGTCGAGAGAGAGAGAGAGAGAGAGAGAGAGAGAGTAAAAGAAGTTGGCAAGGAGGACAGAAGTGTTAATTCAAAAAGTTTTATAAGACTTAAATTAAAAGTTTTACAGCGCGAGAGAGGGGGGGGGGGAGGTATCGCGCTTTCCAGTTCACAAAATGCAGAAGCCGCTTGCTCCCTTTGCCGCTCGCGCTTCGTTGCTTCCCTTTGAAAGTTAAAGGGTGTAAGCAGGGTAGGACCAACGCAGCAGCATCAGCGGCAGCTTAAGCGAATTCTATAATGTATTTACAAAAAGTAGCGAGACCGTTAGCTGCGCTCCGCGAGCAGCAATTCAATTCTTGAGAAAGCTACTACTCGCCGCTGCTCTGCTGCACTGGCAAAGACAAACAGCGAAAGATCAACACTGCGTACAGTCTCCTGCGGCGAAAGCTCGCATTTACGGCTGCGCGGCACAAACACGAGCACTGACCAGTAATTGACTGGCACTTGTCAACCTAATCAGAGCGGACTCGTATTGGTCGCTTTTTTTTTCCTCGAAGAGCGCAAATCCGAGCCGAGTGTATCGAACTGCGAATGCGCCACGGCGCACACGACGAAATGACCTCTCTTAGCCGGAGCTGCCTGCGCCTACTTTATTTACTCACTTGACCTCCTTACTCGCCACTCTCTGCCACTGGCAACACGCTTGCGTTCCTTCAGCCGTAACTGTGAGATTTCGTGTTCGTTCGAGCTCGTTCAATTATTCTGCACGAGCTCGACTCCTTTTTCTCTTGCCCTCGCTCTTTCCTCTTTTTAGCGAAACCTCTCAGCTATACCACCGCGAGATTTGCTCACGCAAATTCTACATTACTTTCTTTTCCTATCGCTCAAAATACACCGCGTTTTTCTCAGAATAATTACTCGTGACTCGACTTCCTTTCCAACACGCCGAGGTTATTTTTTAAAAAAGGTACTTTTTTTTTTCTTCGCTCCTTTTTTCTCTTCGCGGTCGATTAAAACAAATAAAACTTTCTAGCGTTTGATTCCTATTTTCTTTTGTATACTTTTTCCTTCTTTTTTATTTTCTTTTTTCGCGCGCGCGATATATTTCCCCAAATTTCAGCCACGGAAACGTGGCGAAGTGCGAGATGAAAATCTCGCAAGTAAGGATAAAGGTCGCGCGATTCTGAAAAGTTTCCGCGGGTCATCCGCCCTCAAAAAAGAACAAACACTTCTCCTCTCGTTCGCGAGCGTCGAACTCGATGAAAGTCTTCGAGTGCTGCCTTGTTTTTTTTTAATTCCACGGGTATTCGGTAAGTTTGAGCGACAAATCGAACATTATTTTCTCCCCCTTTCTGCGTCATCGTTTCGTTTGCGCGAGCGAAACGAGTAGGAGAGTTGCGCGCGTGCGGGTCGATCGACGATTTCGCTGGTACCCGAGCGCAACTCGACAAAGATAGAAAGCTGTAGTTGACTAACCTTGATGTGCGAAATGGGGGAGAGCGCAGGCTCGGACGCCAGTAGCTGCTTGAGCGTGGTAGCTGCACTACTGGCCGATTGCTGCTGCGGCGGTGTCTGTAGCTGCGACTGCGTCTGCGGAGCGCTCGGCGTGCTCGGGCTGCTATTGGGTGTGTTGGGCCCGGTATTGGGACTGCTCGGCGAAGCGCTGCCCGCGGCGCTGTTCGGAGTGCTGCCACTCGTCGTGGCTCCTTCGCTTGGCTTTCCACCGGCGGCGGCGGCGGCAGCGGCGGCAGCGGCGGCATGGTGATTCTCGGTGTGTCGCCGCAAGCTCCGAGCGTCGCAGTACGACTTGCCGCAGCCCTCGGCCTTGCACTCGTAGGGCTTTTTGTTTCGGTGCGTGAGCATGTGGCCGTTTCTGCAACGAGCAACAACAGCCGCGGCGACTCGTAAATTGTCTGTGCTTGCTTGCAGCGAGAAAAATGAAGCGTAAGGGAGCTTGCGGCGCCGGGACACGCGACACAAAGGGAGCTCCGAAGAGAGAAAAGCAAGGCCGTTTAAATTCACGAGTGGCGCCTCTAGGCGTGCGCTTTTGCGCCAGCGCGCGACAAACAGAACAAGGGGAGGGAGAGCGAGAGAGAGAAGGAGCCTCTTGAAAAATCAAAGATGAGGCTTGTTCAGACTCTCTCAGTCAGCTTGACTTGTCCCCTCGTAACGTTGCTGCACCCCGCACTGAGTGTCGCTGGCTTTTGTGTGCAACAAGTATGTTTATGCAATGTTCGACAACAGATCGCTTTCTCTTTTTTCGCCAAAATTTCTCTGCTTCTCTCTCTCTCTCTCTCTCTCTCTCTCTCTCTCTCTCTCTCTCTCTCTCTCTCTCTCTTTTGATTTTTTCATCAAAACGAAATCAAGTTTAGTTGGCCGTTTGAATGCAAAATCCAGGAAGTTGTATAGGCCTCTGTCGGTTTCGCGATGCAACAAGTAGGTGTGCCAGCTTAAAGAAAGCTTTCTCGGTGGCGGCGCCGCGTATAACCACTTCTGCTCTAACCGAGTCCGAGTCTCTCTGGTCGCCATCCAGCCACTCGGGGGAAAAAGAGAGAGAGAGAGAGAGAGAGACGAGAGAGAGAGAGAGAGAGAGAGAGAGAGAGAGAGAGAGAGAAAGAGAGAGAGAGACCAAGCGATCCCACGAGTGTACTCGCGTGCTCGGAGTTCTATGCCCCCCTCCCCCCTTCATTATTGTATTAAGGGGATGCTTAAGAAACATTCTAGATTAACACTTGGTGGAGAGGTAAAGGAGCGAGGCTCTCGTTTCGTGTACGCGGCAAGATTTTTTCCGACGGCAATCTCGCTGGTGCTGCCCCGGGCTTCGGGGCGAAGTTTTTCTCCGAAAATGGCCGAAGCTATAAAATACTTCAACTCGAGACAGAGAGAATCGACAAACTTTCTTTGCCTAATCGCTCTTTTCCTGCCGGAGAAGGTTTGTAATTTGTAGCTGCTCGTTCCGCGAGCCCCAACTTTTCAGTCTTAACTGTACGTAGACCTCTAATAAAACACCAAGCGCACGCGTCTCCCTTTCTCTCGCAAGAGGCGAGCCAGGAAAGAAGAAGAATTCACAGTTCATTTGCATTTGCGCGAGCTGATTGCTGTATAGTGGCAGTAAATTAAGGAGCGATAAAATTGACTTCTCTCTCTCGTCTTTTTTATTCTGGTTTAGCCAGCGCGCCCGTTGCGACTAAAGGATCTTGAAGAGGTGCTCTAAATCGTCGCGGCGGCGCCTCGTCGAGAAGTTTTTAATCGCGGATGAAAGAGCCGATGGCTATTGCACAAAATAGCGAGTAAAAGCGGAAACGACGAGGAAGACCTTTGCAAAGTGATATAAATAAAACCAGATGCGAGTTAGCACAGGCGAGCGAGTGAGAGGTTGATTGATTGATTGTAACCTTTTATTGGCCAGTGATAAAAGTAATAACAATACGTATAATATACATGCATAAAGAATAACAAGTTCGATCAAACTAACTTTGTTATAAAGCTGTTTGCACATTCTCAGATAATAAAAGTTACGTAATACTAATAATTCGGTTATGGACCTATGGCAGTTGTCTAAATAGCTCGATTTCAATGAAATAAATGCTGAGTAAAAGCAGATTAGGAATGTAGTCACATAATCAAATTCAATTGTAAAATAAAACAGATGAGGGACCCTCATCCCAGTCACTTCCGAAAATGGCGAAGGTACAAGTTCTAGAAAGTGGGTGCGTGCCGTCTCCTTGAACCTCCCCCCACGCTGAAAGACCAGGAATGGAGGGTAAAACCCCAAAAGACCTTGATCCAGTGACTGTGCTCACCCTGGTAACGCCGAACTCCGGCTGCTCAGCCCTGCTGCTGGGTTCGGACCTATACGCGCAGTAAAGAACTCTGCTTAGTATGCGGGCTCGCGTAGTCTGACAATTTTGTAAATTAGCAGAGCAGCGAAATAGCTTCTGCGCGAATCAAAGCGTAGTCAGCTCAAACGCTCCCTGTAGGGAGAGATGTGTTCATCCTTCTCAACCCCAGCTATATGTACCTCGCACATTAATTACTCGGTCTTTGTGATCGACCACGTTCCTCGTGTGCAGCAGCCAAACACACCAGCTCCTAACAGTTTAGGTGTGGTTGAACTAAGGATTTTACCAACTTCCCACGAAGTGCCACTGTGGTACAAAGTCTGATGAAGCGCAGATTGTAAAGTATTCGGATGATCCAGTCTGTGACTTGCTCAGCGTACGATCTCCACTCAAGTTCGGGGCCGAAACTGACCCCAAACTGACAACTTCGTCACCGAAAAGAACGAACACTCCTTTCTTCACTTCAACATTCGGTGGCTGCATAACTCAAATAGCATTAACGTTCTTGCTGGAGCCCATGATAGTTAACTTCGTTTTTCCGGCATTAAAACGCAATCTAGAGTCTCTGACCCAATCAGAAACGACCGTGAATAATCTTGTTATATCCTACCCCCTACCTCCACCCCCCCACAAGCTTATCTTTTCAATGTACAAATACATCTACGGGTCGCCCACGTAAAAGTGCGTTTAATGTTTCGTTTGTACAGCACATGTCGCTAGTCATTAACATGCCAACTGAATGGTAGGGGTACCAGAACGGAGCCCTGGGGTACTCACAGAAATAAAGAAAGAAAACGATAGAGAGAGAGAGAGAGAGAGAGAGAGAGAGAGAAATAAAACTGAAGAGATGCGCGAGGGAAGCTACAAAAGTAGCGCTGAACAAAGAAAAAGTATCGAGGATGAGAAAGGACTTGAATGCAAATCCTCGTTAGCGCGTTCGCGCGGCAAATTGTCTTCGATCTCGGGCTTCTCGCCCTAGAGATATAGCTAGCTTTCTTTTATTGTACTCTTTCTCTTTTCTTCGTCGAAGGGTTAAAACGCAGCGTCAGCTCGAGAAAATGAGAGAGGGATGGTCGCTGCCCACCGCAAACCTACACATGCTCAAAAAAACTAAGTAAGAAAAAAGGAAAGAGGAAGACGAAGGACGTGCGAGCAGCCGCCCGAATGCATCGCGAATTCCAAGCAGCGAACGGGGGAGATTGTACAGTCATGTACACACACATACACACGTGTGCGCCGACATACGTAGAGGGAGAACCGCGCGCGGCGACGAACACAGAGAGAAAGAGGCGTCAGCAGTCGCGTAGAGTAAAAAGCGCGAGGCAGAAAGCCATCACTGCCTGCCTTTCTTTCCTCTCTTTTTTTCCTGTTTTTTTTTTTTTTTTTTTTTTTTTCGTTGTCCGCAAAGGAGGCCAAATTGAATCCTCAAAGCCCTGCTTCCTTGGCAAGCGCAAGTTCCTTTGTTTTGTTATTTTATTTTTTTGCTCTTGTACTGCCAGAGCGAGTTCGCCTCGCCTGTTAATAAAGCGACAACGACGTGAGCAGTCCGAAGGCACTGTGCACAAGGCGAATGCGCGCCGCAAGTAGTAATCGCGAGTTTTGATCAGGCAGCCGCGCGTAGCGCCAGGGAAAAAGCAAAAACAGACGCAGATGCGCATTCGCTACTCACAGGTGGTCCTGCCGCTTGAACGCCTTGCCGCACATCGTACAGACGTACTTCCGCTCGTCGCTGTGCGTCAGCTTGTGCTTCGTCAGCGCCGACGCATTGTTGAACACCTTGCCGCATACCTGCAACACAAGCAGCACACGCATCGTTATAATCTCACCAATTTTATAACAAGTAAACTACTAGAACGATGGGAAACGACCGTCGATCGCAGAATTGTACAAGCTTGAGCAAAAACTGTCGTTCAATTATCATGGTAGAGTCTCGCTCGTAAAATGAGAGGAGAGAAAAGAGCCGAGAGAGACAGAGAGAGAAAGAGAAAAAAGGTAGGTAAGGTAGCGGCGGCAGCAACGAGGAGAGGATTTTACGACAAAGGGCTGGATTAGCTGAACTTTCGGCTCGACTTGCAAGCTCAGGGCTTGGATTTATCGTACTTCGGCAGTAGCAGCGACCTATTTTCTTCCGTGAAGTTAAAACGAAGAAGAGAATGGAGGAGGGAAAAGCGAGAGCCGAAAAGTTTTCGTTTCGACATCGAAGCTTCACGGTTCAAATTGTTAACCGATTGATAACGAACGCGGAACGCGGATGCGTTAGTAGAACAAAAAACAAAGTAAAATAGAATAAAAAAAAATAGAGCGCTACTGTCGGAACAATGTGGCTTCATTAGACGGGCAGGCAGCTCAGTCCGAGGAACTGTACGGTGTAAAAGTGTTAGCGTCGGAAAAACGCGGCGGGAAGAGGGCAGGCAATTAGGGAGTAAAGCTGATTTAACGGGGGCTTGAATACTTATTAGCTTAGCCGAAATAATTGGCGCGAATAGGAGACAGAGAGAAAGACAGAGACAGAAAGAAAGAAAGAAGAGAGAGAGAGAGAGAGAGAGAGAGAGAGAGAGAGAGAGAGAGAGAGAGAGAGGAGGAATTGATTGGTAGAGGGTGCTGCAGCTACCTGCAGTTTTACCGCACGGCTGCAGCAGCGCTGGCCAAGCCTGACTAATAGAGCGCGAAAACCGCCGTGGTAGTAGTGCAGCGAGCGAGCCCACTGCTGATTCGGCGTCCCGCGAGCGCCTCGCTTTATCGCTCCATTTACCTTTCATTTGTCCCTCTCTCACTCGCTAGGACTACGCACACGCACACCAGAACACACACACACTCTCTGATTTATACGCTGCCATCGCTGCTGCTGCTGCTGCTCGCTCGATTTGTTTTGTTTCCTGCTGAACAATACAACTTGTAGCGTTTTACTGATGACCCCTTCCTCCTGTCAGTCTTCACGGACGTTTTTCTTCCTCGGAGTGCTTTACCAATTGCGTCGCGCGAGACGCACTCGAGAGCGCCGATGGCCCGCGAAAGCTCGCAACTTGCAACTTGGAAAGCCTCTTATCGGGGCGGCGCGCGAATCCACGTCTGCGGCGAGTATTCCAAGGCGCCAAGAGGGAACGGGGGAGTAGGAAAGTGAGCCGTTGCCGAAGTTGACGAGCAAGTAGCTAGGCTATGTAGAAACTCGGCTAAGCAGCGCGAGAGCGAGCGAGGAAAGCAGATAGTCGTACTTCAAAATCTAATTTGCGCAATTTAACTCCACTCCCAAGGACATCTCTAGATCTCTCTGTAGAGAGAGAGAGAGAGAGAGAGAGAGAGAGAGAGAGAGAGAGACGCATTCACACCTACAGCCAAAGTTTCAATTTACGCCAGCAGCACTCGCTCGAGATGTAGAGCCGCGACGAAACCCCAATCCTTGCCTCTACCGAATCTCCCTTTTCCCTTTGACAAGTCAACATCATTACTCTCGTCGCGTTCGCACCTTAGCTTAACCTCCTTCTTTGTCTGTCGCTGCTGCTTCTCTCACTCTCTCTCGCTTCCATCCGCTTGCGCACGGAAATCATTTCGCACTCTCTCGCTCGGCTGTTTATAGTGATTTTCCATTTACTTTCTCTCTTCTCTCTCTCTCTCTCCCTCTCTTCGGCATCGATAAACCCTTGACTCAAACTTCAAAGAGTTCTCTTCTCGACGGCTTTCCGCGAGCGGCAGAGGAAAAAAAGAGGTGGAAGAGTTGTGCCGACGCCCCATTGTACGTAGCCGTGGCGCTCGCTTCAAAGACTGTGACATCGGAATGGAAGATAAACAGTGAGAGGAGACAGAGACAAGAACAAGTTGGTAGCTGTTTGGCCGTCCGTTAATAAATTGGAGTGGAATCAGCTCCGTCGACTCCGTTTGTAGGCTGATGCTCGACATGCCAGCGCCGCGCGACCTTCGTCGCGACGGCAGCGGCGTCCAAACTTGCTCGAAAGTTTCGTTAATTAACGGAAGCTGTGAACGCGCGCCCGCGCGCGTCTGCCCACGACAACTCCAGTTTCCCTCTCTGTCTCTGTCTCTGTCTCTCTCTCTCTCTCTCTCTCTCTCTAACTTACACGCAAGTTGGCGTTCCATTGCGGAGGCAGCCACTTCGTTACGGGGATAGCGTAATCGAACGGGAGCTCAAACTCGATTTACTTTTCCTCGTGATTTCTCGATCGCCGACGAAAGAGTCAATAGGAGAGGACGCTGCGCGCGGCCAAGGTCGATTAATCAGACTTCGGCAGAGTAAAGTTGGCACAAACAAGCACCGACGCCAGGGATGAAGGGGGAAAAAGGCGAGATTGCGAGCGAAGCGCCGACTGCTTGCCTTCCTCCGCCAGGCAGAGCAACGAGAGGAAGTAATATGACACCAAACTTGCACCCCCCCCCCCCCCAACACGCTCAATTAATTAATTAAACGAAGCCTCGTTCTAATACCCCGAGCAATTCGCTTCGCCGGCTGGAATCGAGGCCAGACACGCGCATACACAGGTACGCCTATATATCTGTATATATTTAGGGAGAGGGGGAGGAGGACCGAGTGCCGTGACGCGCGCGCGCGCTACTTGATATCGCTAGACCGAGCCCAGATAATCGACCTTGCGCTTCGTCTACGTAAAGCACGCTCCACCTTCTTGCTCTTTAATCTCTCTTCTATTTGGCTTCACGCTCGATTCTGTCGACTTTTTCTCGTTCACGAATTCCGTCCCGGCGCATTTTCACGCCCAAAGTACGGGCCGCGAATAAAAAAAGCTCCCTCCCGATACTCACCGACGAGGGGTGCTCGTCCTTTTGCCCTGGGTCTAATTTCCATCGAGCGGCCGTCTTGATCAGAATTTATTCCGCGCCGCTCGAATTAAAAATCAGCGAGGTTATCAAGGATTCGCCGAGCAAAACAACGAACGGGCGCGAGACAGAAGGACTAATTAAAATCAGTGAGGCTGTTTGGATTGCGCAGCTGTGCCGCGACAAGTGAATAAGCTTGGAAAGTTGGAGACTCCCCAAAGGGAAAATACAAATCCTAAAGCACAAGCTGGGCCAAATTTCGGGAGGGAAAACTTATTTGGGAAACAAACAAGGCCAACGAACCGGCAATATCGCGCTAACAGTCAAGATTGCAAAGACGACTCGAAGATTTCACGGCTCCGACAAATGCTCGTCAAGACGAGCATCCGCCGGTGCAGACAAACAGCGCGAACGCACGAGTCGACGATACAATTATAGATTTGCGCTGAGCCTCCGAGCTCGCGAACAACGTATCTATTCGTTCGAACGGTCGGATCTCCGGTGTCAAAGGAGCTTGCGCCTCGGCCCGCGCGAAGATAAATCGCGCGCGCGCGCGCACACACGGCTCGGCGGGGAGAATTGTATCGTCGCAAGTTGGACTCGTTAGTGGGATAGCGTGCGCGCGGCGGGCGCACAAAGCGACGACGGGAGCAAACGACGACTACGCGACGGTGGAGCGAGAGCGCTGCGGTCGCGCGACCGCCAACGAGGCGGAAGCACGCCGCGCCAGCCAAATTTGTGGCTTTTCCCTCTCCCCTATGCCCCTCGCGTTCGCTTTTTAGAAGAGCAAACGCGAGCGAGTGGCAAGATTTAATTTGCCACCCGCGCCCGATTCATCTCCCTTCTTTCTTTTTTTCACTTTTTCGCGCGACTGACTAAAGCACGGGCTGTACTACTGAACGCCGCGCTCCTCGACTCACCTGGCACTGTTGAGGACCCTGTCGATTGGGCGATCCGGCCTTGGGTCTGGGCTTCTTTACAACCAATTTGGCGGGATCGGTCGCGCTCGGCCTCGATTCTTCGCCGCTGCCTGCAACATAGAACGAAATAAAAAACAATCAGCACCACTCTCGACTCGATACCCCTCTGATTAAAACTCGGCAGAGAACAGCGAGGCTTTTCGCTCGCGGGTAATCGACGAGAGTGTTCTCCGCGCGACAATGACGCGTAGATATTTATCAAGAGCGCGTATAAAGAGAAAGAGAGCAAAAGAGAGAGAGAGAGAGAGAGAGAGAGAGAGAGAGTGCTCGTCGCGGAGAAGGGCGAAGCTTTGTGTGTACAGCAAAGCGAGCGCAGCTGTGCGCGGGCGCGCGATCGACGAGAGCACCAACAAGTGCTAGCAACAGCAGCAGAAGCAGCAGTAGCAGCAGCAACAACTTGGCTAATTAATTATTGTGAATGCTCGAAGAGAACTGGACTGTGCAGGGGGAGGGGGCATCGGGTGAGCAGCAACAAGCTCGGGACGGAGGAACAACGCTTCCGCGCCCACTCTCCCGCACTAAACGAGAGGAGGAGGAGTTCCACACGAGCAAACTCGAACTTGCGATTCCGCTGCTGGCTGCCGCGTGGTATACTTGGCTGTAAATGCCGAGACAACTACTCGAGCTTAAGCCCCAGAGAGCGAGGATTAGTTAGTATCCGCGTAATTTGCCGGCGACCCGAGCGCAACGAGAAAGAATCGCGAGGTAGAGCGAGAAAATACCTGGTCGGACGCAGAGACGGGGCCGAGGACTGTGGGCAATTAAGCCTTTCGCGTACACGTGTGCGCCTCGCATAGTTGAAGGCGTGGCTGAGTGTCTGGTAATAGCGCGGCGGCGGTGGCGGCGGTGGCGGCGACGACGACATTGCCAGCGAGCCGATCGTCGCGACGCTCAGCCAGCCAGTCAGCCGACGCCTCAAACATTTCACTTGGTACTCTCTGCCTCGAGCCTAAGTATATTGCGGATTCCAATTGACGAAAGCTCCAGACGGAAACGACTTGCGAGACGCGCTGCTTACTCCCGCTCGCAATTGAATTAGCGCGGGTTCAACAAAGCCGCTTGCGATCTCTGCTCCCTTATCGATCGACTTGCCAGCCGCTCGCTCGCGAGAGAACTTCGATCGTGAGTTTCGCCGACAGGCAAAGGGGAATTCAGTTTGTTGGTCTGGCGCGTGAAAGTGCCGCGGACTCCGCGACAGAGGTCCTCATTTTTGCACATTATGCCGGGCACGTTGGCCCGGAGCGAAAAACTTTTCCTCGCGGGCACACTCCACATAATTTCCTCGTTTTTCAATTTCGAAGGCAGCTGCGCGGGCTCGCCAAACCGAGCGCCAACGGCGGCACAGGAACTTTTTAGCCGAGCCAACGCCTTCCCTCGCTCTCGACGAGTCGCTTGCTCGATCTTCGTCCAGCGGATAGCCGACCAGTAAGCCTGATGTACGCCTCGCTTAATTAGCTTCCGCGCTGGAGTTGCGCCGAATCGCTCCCCGATATTTGCGACTCTGCTGGCAATCCCGGTAAGCGACGAGTGCCCCACAGATGCAACTAGCGTTACAAAAGTTTTTCCCGCGGACCCGCTGTCGCGTCAATTTATTTATTCGCTTCTCGCTTTACCGGCGACGCAATAAGTAAGCGAGAAAACTGCCTGCTCTCTGTCCAACTTATTCGATACTTTCAAAGTTAACGAGAACTTTGCGTTAAGGCGTTTCCAGCTTTCGAGGATAATTCAGTCTTCAGTCGCAATCATTTATTGGAAAGAGCTTCCGAAGCAACAGCAAAGTCGTGAACGTTGCATTAAGTTTGTTCAGAAATTTATGCCTTATAAAGTATTCGGCGAAATCTCCGGATTCGAAAAAATACTGCATCTCGGCTGGTAAATGAGCCAGCGAGCGGAGCAGCAAGTGCATTATAGAGAAAGCTAGAGTGCGTATTTTTTTGAAATGTCGGGGCAGCAAGCTCTGCAGGAGACCTTGGAAAAAACAAAGTCGGAAATCAAGCGGAACAGATAGCGTCGCGACACTCGATATCGCGCAACCCTCGTGAACCTCGCCACCCTGCATTCCGTTTCACCGCCAACGCAGCACCTTGCTTTACAACAAAAACGTGATCTCGCGCCAGCGTCGCGTTTGCATATTTCAATTGCAATTTTTCGAGCTTTTTTTATTTCTCAATTCGCTGTCGCGGTATTATATTGCACCGAGCAATCAGATCCAGGCGCATCGCTGCGATCACTACGATCATGTTTCAGCGATCCGCGCGATGCAAAGTCTCATTTAACAGGAAGCCGTGCACACGATCGTGTTGCAGTGGTGTGGGCCAGGCAGCCAGAGAGCCAAATGCACGTAGAATATTCAGCCGGGCATTTGTGAATGCGGCGCATGTGTTAGGTAATGAAATTAATAAAGCTGAACAACGCAAGGGCTCGGACCAATCAATGCTCTGTATCGGCGTATCGGGCTTTCGCACACGCACACGGCACGTTTCCGTGGGCCGGGCAGGCTCGCCGAGCTTTACGAGCTTGCCAGCTACCTGACCAATAAAAATTACGTATCTATTCGTGATTTTCTTTTTATTGACCGGCTGACTGTATTCCATTTTTTGGGGTCTTTCGTCTTACGTGCGTGGCAACTGAACCGCAACTCCGATTTGAAATATCAAGCGCGAGCTATTGAAATGAACGACACTGATCGACGAAATAACAAACATTATCGATAAATATCGGATGAAACTCGACGGAGCATTACCCGCGAAGCCTAGTATTTATTATCCTAGCGTAAATTTATGAGCGAAGAACAATCTTCATGCGCGCGCATAAATTATATGGCCGCGACAGGATTCAAAGCTAATAGCACTCTAAATCGAGTGCTAATCAGTACCTGCGAGTGCAAATTAGCCCAATGAGGGCCGGGCTCGCTGTAAACTCTATTATTCCGGCGAACGCGCGCACGCGAAAATGATGTATCGAAAATTTGGGCAACGGCAATCAGCCACGGCATTCGGCGTTAAACAACATAGAATGATAATGAATTGGAATTGCGAGCGCAGTGACTCGGCTGTTTTTGGCATGTGGGGTCGTCTTCGCGCCGGAATTTAATATCAGCGACCGAATGACGAAACAGCGGCAGCGGGAGCGAGCTCGAGTTAATCAAGGCTCTCCCTCTCTCGAGGACAAGCAAGCGAGCAAACTACGCAAGAACGCGCCTTGCAAGAGGATCCGCATCGAGCGAGCAA